AGTCTTGGGTACCATCAGAGCATGGTACCGGACTTGACGTGATGTAAGTGCTCATGTTTGTTGAACTGTATTTTTTGTAAAATTTTTTATTTATTCATTTGTTTTTGTTACAGATGTTTCTCATTTTTCCCCCATTGACACCCACCTCCCCTCCCCCCACACCCCATCCCCAGCTCTGTTGTCTATGTTCATTGGTCATGCATATATGCATGTAAGTTCTGTGGTTTATCTCTTCTCCCACAAACACCCCCCTCCTCTGAGGCTTGTCAATCTGTACCCCACCTCCATGTCTCTGGGTTAATTTTGTTCAGCAGTTTGTTAAGTTCATTATATTCCACAAATAAGTGAGATCATGTGATATTTGTCTTTCTCTGCTTGGCTTGTTTCGCTTAGCATAATACTCTCCAGGTCCCTTCATGCCATCTCAAAGGATAAGAGACCTTTTTTTTCTTACAGCTGCATAGTACTCCATTGTGTATATGTACTGCAGCTTTTTAATCCACTCATTTACTGTTGGACACTTGGTTTGTTTCCAGATCTTAGCTATTGTAAATAGTGCTGTTATGAACATGTGGGCACATATATTCTTTTTGATTGGTGTTTCAGGCTTCTTAGGGTATATTCCTAGAAGTGGGATCACTGGGTCAAATGGCAGTTCAATTTTTAACTTTTTGAGGTAACACCATATTGTTTTCCATAGTGGCTGCACCAGTCTGCATTCCCACCAGCAGTGTACTAGAGTCCCCTTTTCTCCACACCCTCGCCAACACTTGCTGTTTGATGATTTGTTGATGGCAGCCATTCTGACAGGTGTGAGGTGATATCTCATAGTTGTTTAATTTGCATCTCTCTGATGATTAGTGATTTTGAGCATTTCTTCATATGTCTCTTAGCCATCTGTATGTCCTTTTTGGAGAGGTGTCTATTTAGTTCCTCTGCCCATTTTTTAATTGGGTTCTTTGCCTTCCTTTTGTTGAGTTGTATGAGCACTCTCTATATTTTGGAAATTAACCCCTTATCTGATGCATCATTGGTGATTATGGTCTCCCATATAGTGGGATCCCTTTCCATTTTGATGGTTATTTCTTTTGCTGTGTAGAAGCTTTTTAGTTTGATGTAGTCCCATGTGTTCATTTTTTTCTTTGTTTCTGTTGCCTTAGGTGTTGTATCAGTGAAAATTCTGCTGCGTATAATGTCTGAAATTTTTTGCCTACATTTTCTTCTAGAATTTTTATGGATTCATGAGCTACTTTTAAGTCTTTTATTCATTTTGAGTTTATTCTCATGTATGGTGTAAGTTGGTGTTCTAGCTTCATTTTTTTGCATGCAGCTGTCCAATTTTCCCAACACCATTTGTTGAAGAGACTGTCTTGACTCCACTGTATGCTCTTGCCACCTTTGTCAAATATTAATTGAGCATATTGTCTTGGGTCAATTTCTGGGTTCTCTATTGTGTCTCATTGAGCTATCTGCCTGTTCTTGTGCCAGTATCAGGCTGTTTTGATTACAGTGGTTTTGTGGTATAACCTGAAATCTGGTAATGTGATCCCTCCAACTTTGTTTTTCTTTTTCAAGATTGCTGTGGCTATTCGGGGTCTTTTTTGGTTCCATATAAACTTTTGGAATATTTATTCTAGTTCTGTGAAGTATGTCATTGGTATTTTAATGGGGATTGTATTGAATCTATAGATTGCTTTGGTAGTATGGACATTTTAATGATGTTAATTCTCCCAATCCATGAACAGGGTATGTGCTTCCACTTTTTTATATCTTCCTCTATTTCTTTTTTCAATGACCTGTAGTTTTCTGTGAATAGGTCCTTTATTTCTTTGGTTAAGTTTATTCCTAGGTATCTTAATTTTTTTGCCACAATGATAAATGGGATTTTTTGCTTAGTTTCTCTTTCTGTGAGCTCATCATTGGTGTATAAGAATGCCATCAATTTCTTGACGTTAATTTTGTATCCTACTACTTTGCCAAATTCATTTATTAAGTCTAGTAGACTTTTGATGGAGTCTTTGGGGTTTTCTATGTATAGTATCATGTCATCTGCAAATAATGACAGTTTCACTTCCTCCTTTCCAATTTGGATCCCCTTTATTTTTTCTTCCTGTTTAATTGCTGTGGCTAAGACTTTCAGTACTATGTTAAATAAGAGTGGTGAAAGTGGGCATCCCCGTCTTTTTCCCATTCTTAAGGAGAATGCTTTTAATTTTTGCCCATTGAGTATGATGTTGGCTGTAGGTTTTTCATATATGACCTTTATTATGTTGAGATATGATCCTTCTATTCCCACATTGCTGATCGCTTTTATCAAAAAATGGGTGCTGTATTTTGTTGAATGCTTTTTCAGCATCTATTGATATGATCATATGATTTTTATCTTTCCTTTTGTTTATGTGGTGCCACATTTATTGATTCGCGAATATTGTACCATACATGCATGCCTGGGATGAAACCCACTTGGTCATGATGAATAATTTTTTTGATGTATTGCTGGATTGGATTTGGTAGTATTTTGTTCAGGATTTTGGCATCTATGTTCATCAGGGATATTGGCCTGTAGTTTTTTTCTTTGTAGTGTCTTTATCAGGTTTTGGAATTGGGATTATGCTGGCCTCATAAAATGAGTTTGGACGTACTTTGTCTTGGATTTTTTTGAAATAGTTTGAGGAGAATGGGTGTTAGTTCTTTTTTGAATGTTCAGTAAAACTCCCCTGTGAAGCCATCTGGGCCTGGGCTTTTGTTTGCTGGGAGTTTCTTGATTACGTCTTCAATTTCCTTTGTTGTTATTGGTCTGTTCAAGTTTTCTATCTCTTCCTAGTTCAGTTTTGGGAGGCTGTCTGTTTCTAGAAATTTGTCTATTTCTCCTAGATTGTTCAATTTGTTTGCGTATAACTATTCATAGTATGTTTTGATGATCTTTCGCATTTCTGTGGTGTCAGTTGTTACTTCTCCTCTTTCATTTCTGATTTTGTTTATTTGGTTTCTCTCTTTTTGTTTCTTGGTGAGTCTGGCTAAAGGTCAATCAATCTTGTTTATCCTTTTAAAGAACCAGCTTTTTGTTTCATTGATCTTTTGAATTATGTTTTTAGTCTCTATGTCATTTATTTCTGCTCTGACCTTTACTATTTCCTTCCTCCTATTAGGTCTGGGTTTTTCTCTTTGTTTACTTTCTAGTTCTTTAAGTTATAGGGTTAAAAAGTCAATTAGGAATTTTTCTTGTTTCTTGAGGTAGGCCTGTAGTGCTATGAACTTCCCTCTTAGGACTGCTTTCATTGCGTCCCATAGATTTTGTGTTGTTGTGTGTTTGTATTCATTGGTTTCCAGGAAGTTTTTAATTTCTTTCTAGATCTCGTTAGTAGCCCATTTGTTGTTTAATAACATTCTATTGGGCCTCCAAGTGTTTGAATGTTTTTGTATGTTTTTATTGTAATTGAGTTCTAGTTTCATGTCTCTGTGATCTGAGAAGATGCTTGATATAATTTCAATTTTCTTGAATTTGTAGAGACTTGCTTTGTGTCCTAACATGTGGTCTATCTTTGAGAATGACCCATGTGTACTTGAGAAGAATGTATATTTTACAGCTTTGGGGTGAAATGTTCTGTAAATATCAATTAAGTCCAACTGATCTAGGTCATCATTTAAGGACTCTTTGTCTTTGTTAAGTTTTTGTCTGAAGGATCTATCCAGTGGTGTCAGTGGGGTGTTAAAGTCACCCACTATGATCGTATTGCTAATGATCTCTTCCTTGAAGTCCTCCAGAAGTTTTTTTTAGTATATTTTGGTGTTCCCATATTTGGTGTGTATATGTTCACCAGGGTTATATCCTCTTGTTGGATTGCTACTTTTAATATTATGTAGTGACCTTCTTTCTCTCTTATTATGGCCCTTGTTTTGAATTCTATCTTGTCAGATATGAGTATTGCTACACCAGCTTTTTTACATTTCCATTTGCTTGGAAACTTTTTTTCCATCCTTTCACTTTCATCCTGTGTGAGTCTTTTCTTGTGAGGTGGGTCTCTTGCAGACAGCATGTATATGGGTCGTGTTTTCTTTTCTTTTTTTTTTTTGTTATGAACATTCCAAGTTTATTCCTTTAATTAAACTAAAGCCACTGTGCATGTCCATGACAATTAAAACACAAAAGGGACAAAGACTACACAGAAGTCATCTCTGTTCCTTCCACGTAATAGTGCTTTGCTGAGGGCGGAACACGTGAGTCAGAAGCATTACTTTTCACGCGTTGGTAAAATAGAATTACTTTGGCATGTATTTTCCTTGGTACAAGACATAAAAGACTGCAATCAAGTTGAGCTACCCACCTTTCTTCTCATTTGTAATACATTCATACAAACTGGAAGAAAACCTTTATCAGGGATACGCCCCAAAGCAGGTGGAGGACAGCAGGAAAATCACGTCCCCTTCCCAGGCCTGAGATTCATCCAAAACCTTTGAAGAGAGAATGAGACCATCTCCGTTCCTCTGATTCATGGACACACATCAGTGCATACTCCATGTCACAGGCACACTGGAAGCTATACTTCCAGCACCATGGTGCTACGCTGGGCCATGTTACTTTACTGCGAGAGCTAAGCATGTATCCTCTGAGAGTCGTTCCTCTGCCATGAGCTCAGCCATGTCCCAGAAAGGACATCTAAAGTTCATTGTGGACTCCAGAGCAAAGGGACAAGGAGCAGAGTCCCGGCCAATCAACAGCTCAAGGCCAAACAAGCAACACCCCTTTGTTGTTGTTATGGCAGCACTCCAAATGAAAGCAAATCGAGTACAACCACCACCAATAACTGAGTGTCAGTTCACAGTTAACTGCAATGAAAAAATTTAAATTCCATGCATACAGAACTGATAATGGACATTATGACAATGAAAAAAATTTTAATACAACATTTAAAAATAAAACTATATATAGTATTTGTAGTAAAAGAAAATGACTTCATGTAGAACTTTCCTCATGGTTCCTGGATTGAATCCTTCAATGACTATTCCAAGTAAGAATGGACATTTTTAAAAAATTGTTCTTCCTCATTAAGATATTCCAAGATAACATTTCCACCATTATATAAAGGACAATCCTCTTTAGCAATCCAGGCTTCCAACGAATGATCCAAGGGTAATGCTTCTCCTGAAGTCATGTGATATAACCTTAATTTCTTGGCTGTGAATCTGTTGTTGTCATTTCTGAGACTGGCTAAAGAAGCTGCAAAGTCAGTGACCTTCCCAATGCTCCATTGGGAGCAGAAGAACATTGGTTTGCTCTTCTCTTTGCTCCCCTTGGGTAGGAAAACCTGCAGGTAAATTCTTTCTGTCTGCGGCAAGGACGGGTCCCCGTGGGCTTGCAGCTTCAACTTCATCAGGGCCACCTTGGCCGCCTTCGCACTACTCTGGGCACCTTTCCATCACTTTCTCGCCGTCTGCCCGGTCTTGGAACCAATGATGTCCTGAACAAGCTTCCGAGTGGCGGCCATTCGAGGCTGAGCGGTCTCCAGTTTTTCACACCCGCGCTCTGACTGATGAGGGTGTCTCAGGCAGGAGGTCCTCTGGCAGGCAGGGCGGATGACTCGCGTGGGCCCTCTCTCGGCGCAGTCCTCCAACGAGCGTGCATACAGGCATGTGTCTCTGACTGCAGCCTCTCCTTGACTACAGTCACCTCAGGACAGCCGTGCCACTCTCTGCGTCTGTGCTCAAGGCAAAATATTCCTGAACAACCATCACATACAAATGGAAGAAAATCTCGCTGCCGGCAGTGCTCCACCTGGCAGTGCTGCCCGAGGTCCAGCTCCGCCATGTCCCGGTCGTGTTTTCTTATCCAGTCAGCTACTCTATATCTTTTGATTGAAGCATTTAAGCCATTTACATTTAAGGTAATTATTAATAGATAGTTATTAGGTGCCATTTTTATTTTATGCTTGTGCTTCTCTCTCTCTCTCTCTCTCTCTCTCTCTCTCTCTCTCTCTCTCGTTTCTTCTTCTTCCAACAGTCCCTTCAGCATTTCTTGCAGTGCTGGTTTGGTGGTGGTAAATTCCTTTAGCTTTTTTTTTTTCAATCCGTGAAACTCTTTACTTTTCCTTCCATTTTGAATGATAGCCTTGCTGGATAGAGTAGTCTTGGATTAGACCCTTGCCTTCCATTACTTTGCACACTTCATGCCACTCCCTTCTGTCCTGCATTGTTTCTATTGAGAAATCAGCTGACAGTCTAATGGGAACTCCCTTGTAGGTAACTTTCTGTCTCTCTCTTGCTTCCTTTAAGATTCTTTCTTGGTCTTTAATGTTTGCCATTTTTATTATGATATGTCTAGTTGTGGGTCTTCTGGGGTTCATCTTGCTTGGAACTCTCTGTGTTTCCTGAACTTCTGTGATTTTTTCCTTCACCAGTTTAGGGAAGTTTTCTGTCATTATTTCTTCAAACAAGTTCTCTATTTCTTTCTCTGATTCTTCTCCTTCCAATATCCCTATAATGTGAATGTTGTTACGTTTTGTATTGTCCCACAGCTCCCTTAAACTTTCCTCCTGCTTTAAAAAATTTTTTTTCAGTTTGCTGCTCTATTTGGGTGTTTTTCTCTACCTTGTCTTCTAAGTCGCTGACTTGGTCTTCAGCTTCTTCTAATCTACTATTAAACCCTTCTAAGGTATTTTTCATAATAGCTATGTCATTCTTTATTTCCTCTTGATTTTTATGCATAGCTTCTACCTCTTTATGTATAGCTTCTACCTTTTTTTTTTTTTAAGGTGAAGTAGTTTCCAGTGAGCTCTTCATAATTCTTATTACATTGCTTGTAGTTCTCACCAAATTGTTTGAGCACCCTTATAATCATTGCTTTGAATTCTTTATCTGACAAGTTGCTGTCTTCCATTTCCTGTAGTTCTTTTTCTGGTGATTCCTCTTTTTCTTTCCTTTGGGTATTGTTTTTTGTGTCCCCATTTTAGTTGTCTGGTAGCTCTGTACCCACTGAGGGATGTTTGGATGTGTATGCAGCTCACTGTATATCGAATAAGGCTACTGTGCCTCCCAGACTGTTTAGTTGCGTGTCGCCTCTTGCCTGCTGTGGATCCTGGAGGAATGACTACTGCAGGCTGGTATTGGTGTGTCCCGGTAGGTGCTGCTGCTGGATCATGTGGGACCCTCTGGAGCTGTGTTCCCAGCTGGCATCTGGTGCCACCTGCAGCTGTATAGCTCAGGCCCTGTTGGAGCCACACTCCCTGCCTGTACTGTGGGCAGCTGGATCGCACAGTCCCTTTGGAGACCCGGCTCTATGCCTATCTTGTGGGCTGCTGGGTCACACAGGCCTGTCTGGTGCCTCAGCACTCCATAGGCCCCAGGGGTGAATGAATCGCACAGTCACTTTGGAGACCTGGCTCTACGCCTCTCTTGTGGGCTGCTGGGTCACACAGGCCTCTGTGGAGCCCCAGGTCCTGCTGCTGGTGGCTGGGGAGTGCTGCTGCCCAGTGGGGCTCAACTCCTGCTCAGCTTTTGCTGTAGTTTTTGGAGATGGGTCTCAGCTACTGGTCTGCACTTCTGTTGCCTGGGGATGGATGTCTGCTTCCCAGCCTCTGTTGCTGGGGGTATATCTCAACTCTGATAAGGCTGCTACCATGGGGGATGGTGCTGGGCTCCCGGCCATCTGCGGCTTCCGCAACCGGCACCTTGGCAGCTCCTCTACTGTGCACTGGTCTGTGTTGACACAGGGTGTCCACTGGTCTGATGGTGCCAGGTGCGCTGGTGGGCTCGGGTTGCTAGGTCCTAGCCACTCCCACTGCCTCCTCCCAAGGAAGACCCGGGATCTTCCAAAATGATGGGACCTCCTTGTGGGGCAGGGAGAAGTGCCCTGAAGGGCCGCTTATCGCGGTAGCTGGCTGCTCCATCCATAGCACAGGGACCTTCTGCTCCGCGTCTCTGCACTGCTCGGGTTTGGTTGTCCACCTTCACGTCCACTCACGTCCACTCTCTCACACACTCACCCTCCCTCCAGTCCATCTCGCCACCATCTTTTTCTGTCTGTTGAACTGTATTTTTAGCATGAGTGATTTTTTTTAGAGGAGGACCAAATGCAAAACATCTTCCTGCTGGGGGCTAGAGAAAGCTTTGTGCTTTTGGCAATTCCTGGTCAAAGGCACCATTTCCCTGCTTGCTGGTGTTTATACATATATCAGTAGAGGAATGGGTGGTCGTTGAAGATGGGCCATGGACAAAAATATGGCAAATTAATAGGAGCGTATTTATTAGTAAAAATATAAGTAATGAACAGATCAAAATCGTAATTCCATGCATATTATCGCATTGGAAGGTAAATTCAACTTAAACAGAAATATTAAGTAAATAACAGGATACAAGAGTTAGGAGGATATGGCAAAAGTTGTGAAGGTTGAATTGAATGGAAATGTTTGGAAACACAACCGCCAGATTTCCTGGAGTAGGCAAGGGTGTGAGCACTCCCCTGCTCTCCTTCCCACTTCCTTTCATGGAGGAGGAGTGCCTAGCACCTGCATGTCGATTATCCCAGATGGGAAGTCCTTTGATTCCAGGGTTATTTTATTCCCTGACTGAAGGGGTCTTATCCAGTCTCCTCTAAGGACTCACGCGGTTATTGTCACCATGTTTTCAAGCACTATTTGCTGTTCCCTTGTTTTTTTATTTTTATTTTTATTTGTTAATGATGATACTGCAATGCATTTACCTTTCCTTCAATAACTGCCAAGGCTTCTGTGAGAAAGCTGAGCTGTTCTAGTAGTTTAAAATATTTAGCAGCCTATTACAGAGCCATGGGTTCTAATTTGGGCTCTGCATTTAACCACCTATGAGACTGGAGATAGGCAGTTCTGCTACTGATAAAATAAATTAGTCTCTCTAGGGTTGCTTATAGCTCTAAAAAAGTCCTGTGCTCTGGGATTTCTGCTCCCTGTGTTTAACTGTATGGTAAATTAAAGTTGTCCTCCACTGTGCGCTGTGGTCAGCCATACCAAGCTACTTAAAGTTCCCAGAAGCCACCATGATCAGTGTGATTTCAGTTTGCCCCATTTCTCCCACTTGTGAATAGTAGATTGAAATCTCGTGAAGACAGCATCGGTTTCAGATGTGAGACAATAAACAAGCGTGCACGAGTACCCTGCCCGTTCTGTGCTACAAAGTCTCATTCTTAGACTCTGATGAAATACAGCAGGTTATAATCAACCCTAAAGATTATGATTCCCTAGGGGGAATCTCCCAGTGTGCACACTTTAGAGCTCCTGAATCCAAAATGCGAACATAAAACTTTTGGTGTTATTCAGTGTGATTTTTATGTGCAGAGAAGATTATTCAGAAGTTTAGTTTTGGCTTAAAAAAATTCACAGTACTAGTTCTTTGTTAGGCTTTTAAATTTAGCTTACACATGCTATCATTTGGTTTATAAGTTTAGAAAATGTTTATCTCATTTAAAGAACATTTGATTAATATTTGATCTAATTTAATTAAACATTAAAATATTATAAAGTGCCTTTTCATATATATATTAAAAAAATATATATATATTATTAATCCTCACCCAAGGACATTTTTGTATTTATCTTCAGATAGAGTGGCAAGGAGAGAGGGAAGAAGAGAGAGAGAGAGAGAAACATCAGTGTGAGAGAGACACATCAACTGGTTGCTACCGGGCGGGGACAAACTGCAACCGAGGTACCTGCCCTTAGAGGGAACTGAACCCAGGACTCTCTGGTCCTCCAGCTGACGCTCTAACCTCTGAGCCAAACTGGCCAGGGCACCTTTACATATTTAATATACTTGCTTTTCTTTATACACGCTCCTGCGACCTAATACAGCTTTCCAAACACTAATTCTAATAAGTTAAACTGAGAAATATAGTGAACCTAGCTGCTCAATGCTTTGTATAAACTGAGTAATATATAAACTTAAAATCATTAGTCTAAATTAATCATTCAATTATACATTTTATTTTATTTATTTATTTAGTTATTTAATCCTTACCCGAGGACATTTTTCCATTTCTTGATCAGGTAGAGTGGGAAGGAGAGAGAGGAACAGAGAGAGAGAGAGAAACATCGGTGTGAAAGGGACCCATTGTATTGCCATCCGCACAACCAACCAGGGCCAGGGACAAACTGCAACCGAGGTACATGCCCTTAGCGGGAACTGAACCTGGGTCTCTTGGGACCGCAGGCCGATGCTCTAACCGCTGAGCCTAACCGGCCAGGGCAGTTATACATTTTAAATTGGACTCACAAGGCTGTTATTCAAACAGGCTTGATTCTGTTAAATATTACAGGTACAGAAAATGCCAACTATGGAAAAAATATTAATATCATGGTTTTGATTTTCTTAAGCATTTCCAAAAAGTCAGATTGTCATCCTTCTAGTTAACTGATATTACTTATGTACCTGGTTCACTGTTTAGATTCCTGTTGGAGACTTTGATGAGACATCCCAAGCCACATGTATAGCTGCCAAATCAATGATTCAGTGATTCAAGCAGGATGATATATGGTGTATAACCCTAGATTTGAGTTTTATAGATTGCTTAATTCTTTGGTGTGTTCAGAGAAATCTACAAGTTCTAATCAGGATAATAAACTGATTGATTTTACATTTCTTTTTTCTTCTCATTCCCTTCTAACATACTGTTGAACTTAAAGAGATTCTAAGGTATAAAATATTTCTTCCAAATAAATTTAAAGACATTTAAATCTGATGAAAACTTAGAATCTTTATTTTTACTATTTTTAGCTCCTTACAAATATTAAAATACTATCTGATTGCGGTTGGATAGTTCTCCTGCTTTTATAGTCATAG